TTGAGACTCACTCTTGTGGCCCAGGTGGGAGTGCAGTGGTGTGATCTTGGCTCACTGCAACCTCCTCCTCCTGGGTTCAAGCAATTTTCCTGCCTCAGCCTCCCAAATAGCTGGATTACACGCATGTGCCACCATGCCCAGCCAATTTTTTTGTAATTTTTTTTTTCTTTTTTTAGTAAAGACAGGGATTTACCGTGTTGGTCAGGCTGGTCTCGAACTCCTGACCTCAGGTGAGCCACCTGCCTTGGCCTCCCAAAGTATTGGGATTAGAGGCATGAGCCACCGTGCCTGGCCTATGGTTCCCTTTAAAGAAGGGTTTCTTAACCTCGGGCCTGTGGATAGAAGTCAGCAGGTCTGTGAACTTGGGGGAAAAATCAGTCTTTCTTATCATCTAACCTCTAACTGAAATGTAGCTTTTCCTTCTATAGGAACCTAGATGATGGTCCCCAGCAGGACCTGCAGTCCCCGTGATCTGTCACAGAGGTCACGAGTATTTTCATAGCATCCCAGTTGCTGCAGACAGGACAGCTCCCAATTTCGGGGTTTGTCGGCCCCGCCGCTACATCTTAGTTAATGCGTTAAGAAGAGCAGCTCACAGAATGCTACATCACAGATTCTTTTTAAAAAATACTCTGACAGCTGTTTTCTAAAATAATCAGCTTCCTTTTTGATCTTGTGGATTTTATTTTATGCACTGAAAGCCATTATTCTGAGAAGTCCGTAGGCTTCTCCAGAATGCCAAAGGAGTCCGTGGCAAACCAAAAAAAAAAAAAAAAAAAAGCCTAAGGACTTTGGTTAATGAAAGAAAACACACCGGGCAAACTGACTTAAGACTCTGGACACTGGATGGGGCTGGCTGCTGACCGTGGATCTGCCACCAGGCCGTGCCGCCTGCCATGAGCCAGCCCCATAGGCGATGGCAGCAAAGCCAGGCCCAGGCTCCAGGGACCCCAATTCCTGCCCTGACCCTTTGCCTCCCAGGTCTGGGACCAGTCCCAGCCCCACCTCACCTTGTCCATCATGGCAAAGATCCGGTCCACTCTCTTTTCTGGAGTGTTCTCCTCCTCTGGGAGCTCTACGGTGTTCCCCTGCAGGGATGGATTAGGCAGGACTGGGGCCTTGCACCCTGGGATTTGGGCTCTTGGCCACACATTTGCCCCCCAGACCTGGCAGGTTCCAGGTGAGAACCGCCTCCCTCCTCTTTCCCCTCCCCATCCCTGCCATTCTGCCCTGGAATATCCCGCACCCCAGCCCCACTATCTGCCAGCCCCTGCCTGCCTGCCTGCCGAGGCAGAGATGTACAGAACAGAACAGCTCAACCAGGGCCCCCGGCTCCCACCCTGGGCAGGGGTATGGCCACACAGGCGCTGTCGCTCTCTCAGTCACTGGCTTTGCCCCTCCTGCCACCCCCCACCCCATGGGAACCAGCCTCTCACCACCATCTGATAAATGGCATCCACAATGTCCAGCATCTCATTCCTGGTGATGTAGCCGTCGTTGTCCAAGTCATAGAGTTTGAAGGCCCCTGTAAGCAAGCAGCCAGCACTGAGTGATCCCCAGGCTGGGGTGGCTGGGAGGGGTCTTCAGCTCACCCCTCCTCTCTGTACCCCAACATGAAGTTAGAGACCAGACAGCCCATTCTTCATCAGGTCAACAAATATTTACATCAAGATAGGGACACACACACACACACACACACACACACACACACACACACACCATTGCAACTAGGGTTAAAAATAAATAAAGCTGGGCGTGGTGGCTCACACCTGTAATCCCAGCACTTTGAGAGGCTGAGGTGGGTGGATTGCTTGAGCCCAGGAGTTCGAGACCAGCCTGAGCAACATGGCAAAACCCCATCTGTACAAAAATACAAAGATTAGCCAGGCGTGGTGGCATGTGCCTGTAGTTCCAGCTACTTGCGAGGCTGAGGTGGGAGGATGGCTTGAGCCCAGGAGGTGAAGGTTATAATAAGCCGAGATCAAGCCATTGCACTCTAGCCTGGGTGACAGAGCAAGACCCTCTCTCTCACTTTGTCTCCCGCTCTCTCTCTCTCTCTCTCTCTCCATACATATGTATATATACACATACACACACATATACATATATATTAATTAATTACAAATAACGGGGCCAGGCACAGTGGCTCATGCCTGTAATCCCAGCACTTTGGGAGGCTGAGGCAGGCGGATCATCTGAGGTCAGGAGTTCAAGACCAGCCTGGCCAACACGGTGAAACCCCGTCTCTACTAAAAATACAAAAATTAGCCCGGCATGGTGGTGGGCACCTGTAATCCCAGCTACTTGGGAGACTGAGGCATGAGAATCACTTGAATTTGGGAGGCAGAGGTTGTAGTGAGCCAAGATCACACCACTGCACTCCAGCCTGGGCGACAGAGCAAGACTCTGTCTCTAAATAAATAAATAAAATAAAGGGAGGAGGTATTGGGCTGCCAGGGCCGAGGCCTCAGAGGCTGGAGCGGAGGGAGTAGGAAGCCAGGGGCCTAGGGTGTGGCCCAGAGGAGTCCACCTGCCACCCCACTCCCTCCCCCATTCCAGCCCCCGCCTCCTCCCCATGGTCCACTCAGCTCCTACAGTTATGCTGTGGCCCCGACAGTCAACATTAGATAATAAATACTGCATCATGAGAAGGAGCTTTTGCATAAATAAAATTCTCTTTTATTCCTAAAAAAAAAAAAAAAAAAAAAAAACAAAGCATAACTATGGCCCATTTTTTCATGTAATATGGCCCTACCTACCTGCCCAACTTCATTTCGTGACATGTTAGAAAAACAATGTATTTATAAAACGTAGTTTAGGAAAGTCATTAATTTACAATGAAAAAAAAAAAGCCGGGCACAGTGTCTCACGTCTGTAATCCCAACACTTTGAGGGGTCAAGGCAGGTGGATCATGAGGTCAGGAGTTCGAGACCAGTCTGGCCAACATAGTAAAACCCTGTCTCTATTAAAAATACAAAAATTAGTTGGGCATGGTGGCACATGCCTGTAGTCCCAGCTACTCGGGAGGCTGAGGCAGGAGAATCACTTGAGCCTGGGGGATGGAGGTCGTGGTAAGCCAAGATCGTGCCACTGCATCCAGCCTGGGCAACAGAGTGAGACTCCATCTCAATCAATCAATCATCAATAGAAACTGCAGGGTCTTCCACTGCCGGCGGAATGAAGTATGAAAGCCTTCCCCAGCAAGGAGCTCTGGCCACGTGGTTTCCATCTTCCCCACCCTTCACGCTCCCTGCATTCCTGCTAATGCCGCCAGGGGCCTGAACAGCCTCCCTCCTGTCCTCCTCTCAGCCTCCCTCCACGGGCCTCGCACACGAGGGCCCCCTACCTGGAGCCCTTGCACCCCTCCCCAGCTCCCCTCACCCCAGCCCAGCGCCTACCAGGCAGGTCCTCTCCTGCTCATGACTCCCTCTCTCCTCCTCATCTGCAGTTTCCAGAGGTTTCTGTAAATCCTGCTGCCACGCTAAACTGACAGCCACGAGAGCAGGACCTATCTATCTTATCCCCCAGTGGGTCCCTGGTACCAACACCTGGCTGCGTGCAGTCGTCATTTGGTGAATGAACAGGTGAGTAAGTGAAGGAGTGAAAGCCGGAATCAAAGCAGTGGCTATGAAAGAGGCGGGTCCGGCACTGAACTTGGGTCTTGGGTCCCCACTGCCCCTCCCGCTGCCCAGGTCTGCACCTGCTCGAGTGTAGCCAAGGCTCCTGCCAGCCTCTGCCTGCAGCCCTCCCTGCCCACCTGCCTCAGCGAGCCTCCTTCCCACTGCCGGCCACCTCCAGGAAACCCTCTGACCTGGAAGCGCCGACGTCTATGCTACTCTCTGAACCCGGGCCAGCTGGCCTGGCCTAGTTACTTGGCCATGTGAGGGCTACCTGCCCAGAGCCCAGGCCTGGCCTCCGTGGACAGACACAGCTGGGACACCATCTGCGGTCACTGCGGTGGGCGTCTGGTGCCCCTGCCTGGTGAGGGCTGAGGGCTGCCTCCCTCTTGCCTGGGCCCGCCAGCTGCTGCCCCACAGGGCCAAAGGGGCTGGACTTACACCGCAGCTTCTCATCCAGGGTCCCCCTCGAGGTCACCGACAGCGCCTGGATGAACTCGGAGAACTCGATCCGCCCGTCCTGACAGGAGAGAGAGGGGATGGCCTCGGTCAGTGCCGCCAGGCCACCGGGTCAGGCTGAACCCCGGAGGCGGGCGAGGGGCAGTCACAGGCTCCAGACACTGTGGCCAATGAACACAGGTGGAGAGGGCAGGCTCGAAGGGATGGGGGGCAAGAGGCGAGGAGAGGGCCAGGAGCAGAGGCTGGGGGACTGGGTGGGGGTTAGAAGTGGGAGGGGCCAGGAGGGAGGGACAGGAAGAGGGGCTGAAGCTGAACAGAGAGGCTGACTCCACTCCTGACGGAAGAAGGTGCCAGAAGCACCAACACCTGCGCCCCTCTCAGCGATGGCACCTGGAAACCCCTCGGCCTAGAGCTGTGCGCTCACGGGCTTTTGCAGAGGGAGGGCCACTGCTGGCTGTTCAATTCTACCTGTTGTTTGCAAATAAGAAACTAAGGCCAAAGAAGGGAAGAGCCCTCCCCAGGGTCAGGAGTGTTACTCCCAGCCTGGGGGAACCTGGGAGAAGGTGGGGTGTGACAGACTAGAAACCTTCTCGGTGCCAGCAGCAGGAGGTTCAGGGACAAGTGACAGTCAATCCACCCTCAAATGCTACTGCGGGACAGAACTGGGGTCATTGCAGAAAACCCAACAGCGGTCGGTGCAGCCACTGCCCGAAGGGAACACGAGCTATTACATGGTGAGTCCTGAAAACGTGATGCTCAGTGGAAAAAGCCAGGAACAAAAGATCCTATAGCTTATGATTCCCAGAGCCTCAGTTTCCTGACCTACAATGTGGGCATTAAAGTACCCAGCCCCCAGGTGCTTTTAAGGCCTCATTAAAAATAATCCATGTATGGTCGGGCGCGGTGACTCACACCTGTAATCCCAGTACTTTGGGTGGCCAAGGCAGGTGGATCATCTGAGGTCAGGACTTCGAGACCAGCCTGGGCAACACGGTGAAACCCCATCTCTACTAAAAATACAAAAATTAGCTAGGCGTGGCGGCAGGTGCCTGTAATCCCAGCTACTCGGGAGGCTGAAGCAGGGGAAATCACTTGAACTCGGGAGGCAGAGGTTGCAGTGAGTTGAGATTGCACTACTGTACTCCAGCCTGGGTGACAGAGCGAGACTCTGTCTCAAAAAAAAATCCATGTGAAGAGCTTATGCATAATAAATGTTCAGTAAATATTGGTTATTATTATTAATCTTGTTAGTATCACTGGAGGCATTTGCATTTATGCTTGTAAGAGAAATGTCAGGGTGTACATACATATATATAAGTGTATACATGCATGTGTGTACATGGTATACGTGTGTGTATATGTGTGTCTCTGTGTGTACATGTGTGTGCACTTGCAAATCCATGCATTATGCATATGTGTGTTTGTGTGAACTGTATGAGTATACATGTGTTCATGTGTGTGCACTGTATGAGCATAGATGTGTTTCTGTGCACTGTATGAGCATACATGTGTATTCGTGTGTGCACTGTATAAGCATAGATGCATGTTCATGTGTGTGCACTGTATGAGCATAGATGTGTTCGTGTGCACTGTATGAGTATACATGTGTGTTCATATGCATCTCCCTGTACGTGTGCCTGTGTGTGTGCATGGTATTCGAGTGTATGTGCACATACACCTTTGTGTGAGAGCTTAGATGTGCATGACAGTGCATGAGTGGGTGTACATATGTGTGAACATGTGTTTGCATGCATTTGGATGCATCTGTGTTTATCGTGTGTGTATCTGCATGTGTACATGTGCATGCATTTATGTGCAACTGTGTATGTGTGCATGCCAGCATGCCCTTGTGTGTGTTTCTTTTCCAGAGGGAACATCAGCAGGATAGCGTGGGTGTGGAGACGCTGCAGGTGCCCACGGGAGCTGAGCCAGCTGCTGCGGGAGGGAAGAGGCTCTGGGCTGCCTCGGGACCCATCCATCCCCAGCTCACCTTGTTTTCGTCAAAGACGTTAAAAACAAACGTGGCAAACTTGGTGGGGTCTCCGAACGGGAAGAATTGCTTGTAGATCTTCTGGAAGCCTGCTGCATCCAGCTGCCCACTGGGGCAATCCTTGATGAAGCCTTTATACCTGGAGGCAGCAGACCAGGCCAGAGAGGGTAAAAGAGATGCCAACATCACCCACCTACCAACATCGCCCATCCAGGGCCCAGGAAAGCTGTGGCTCCTTGTTCAAAGAGATGGTGCCACATGGGGCTGTGGGCACAGACCCAGACTTGACAGGCATGGGCACAGTCCCACCTCTGCCTCTCACTATGGTGTGACCTTGGATACAGACTTCACCTCTCTGAGCCCCGTCTGCATGAGGGGGTTAAGAGCTAACATAGGAATTAACCCAGATACTGCACACAGAGTGAGCATGTGGCCACCCAACCCTGTGCTACACCCAAGGGGGCTAAGAGTCACATGAATGGCATCCCAGAAGCCGCATGCCTGCGCAAGACCCTCCCACCTCCCCGCCTTCTCCGCTGAGCCCCTCCTGGCATCACAGCCGGGCAGGCTGCTGCTGGGTGCTGGTGGGTAGACCACCATATGGAGCCAGCAGCTGGCCCCTCCCACATGCCCACACCCCGCCCCTCAGCCTCTGTTACCAGGGAACTGGGTAAACAGCATGGAGGGACACTGGCTGTTCTGACCGGACTCGTCTGCCCTACAGTCCTGGTGCCCAGCACAAGATCCTCCAGATCCCCAGGCGGCTGACGGTGGGATGGCTTTGCACCCCCAATCCCAGACCCAATCTCTGCCATTCACTAGCTGTACAACCTCAAGCAAATGCCCTCACCTGTTTCCTCATCTATAAAAAGGGATGGTTCTCACACCCATCTTGTTGTGCATGTAACCACAGGGCTCGGCACAAAAACGGGTCAGTAGTGTGAACTTTAGACCTGTGAACTTAAATATGTGTTGTTCTAAACCAGTTCGCAAGCTGGCTCCTGTGTGCAGTTGAACCATTCCTCCCGCTGCACCACAGGGGTCACACACTCCTCAGGGGACGATTCCTTCCACAACGGGAAGCCAGAGAAAGCAGTCAGCTGTCACCAACACCAGCTATTACCTTTGCAGGGCCAGGCCCAACTGGGAACTCTGCATACCTTATTCTCCCAGAATGCTCCTAACAGCCCTATGAGAAGGTACTGGAAGGAAGCTTTGTTTTTTTTTTTTTTTTTTTTTTTTTTTT